TTAGGAAACATCAGTCTCACTAGCTGAGGTGATTTTTGTCAACAGCTAATTAATACCAGGATTTGAGCAGAGGAACTTTGGCAGCTTCAGAAGGTAGCCTCTGAAATCAGGATTGCCAGGCTCTTTGTGTAGTAGCCTTTTCTGTTGATATGTGGAGTGTCATCAAAGAAATGCCACCATGAAAATAAGAAACAAGTATTGCATTGTTTTCTTAATGTAATTTTTATTCATATTAATAAATGTTAGGTTTTTTTAATTTTTTTTTTTTTTTTTTTTTTTTTTTTGAGAGAGAGTGAGAGCAGGGGAGGGGCAGAGAGAGAGAGGGACACACAGAATCCGAAGCAGGCTCCGGCGTCTGAGCAGTCAGCACAGAGGCCAACGCAGGGCTCGATTTCACGATGACCTGAGCCAAAGTTGGACGCCCAACTGACTGAGCCACCTAGGTGCCCCAGATGTTAGTTTTCAATAAATGTTTCTAAAGAGTTTATTATTTTTAGTATCTGTAATAATTTTTCGCACTATTAGTTAAAAGTTAAAGATATTGTATCTCTTAGCATTCTAGATACACAGTAAGAAATGACTATTTTGTACAAATTGAAACTTAATATTTTAGTATTAGACGTATGATGAGTAAGGACACATAAATCTGTCAAGACTTTCTACTTTTTTTTTTTTCTTAAAGTAATCTCTACACCCAACATGGGGCTCGAACCTAACAACCCTGAGAGTCGCATGTACTGATTGAGCCAGCCAGGCACCCCAAGACTCCACTTTTGATCTATGTATTACTCAGAATACTCTTTAGAGTAGGTTTGTTTAATTTTTTAAAAAAAGAAGTAGAGGGGCGCCTGGCTGGCTCTGTCAGTAGAGCATGCGACTCTTGATTTCAGGGTCATGAGTTTGAGCCCCATGTTGGGTGTGGAGTTTACTTTTAATCAAAAAAAAAAAAAAAAATAAACTCTTACATAAATATCAAGTAGTATATAGAGAACACTGAGCTGTCCATTTTTAGGGAATGCAGTCTGAGGGCACAGTGATTTATAGTCTTAATGTTAAAGAAAACTTGATAGATGACTTGAGTTTTGATTGGAAAAAAGGTTTATTCCAATTCAGGAGCAGAGCATTGTTTCTTAGTAGTCAGTTCAGAGGTACAGCATCACTACATCATTAGATTGCTAATGAAAGACATATATCTCTAAGCAGGACTATACCTGGTAAAATAGTGGGAAGTCCCTTTCTTAGAGAATTGGATAACAGGAAAGCCTACATACAGTCTTCTCAGCAATATACTGTTTTGAGAAGTTTATTACAAAGTTTGTGTGTATGAACAAGAGTTAAGTATGTTAAGAATAGTGTAGAACTTTGTAGTTTACAAAGGGCTTTTCATAGAAGTTCATCCCTTTTAAAACTCCTAATGCTTTGATGAAGTAGATGATATCTGTTCCCATTTTTCTGATTTATAAGCAAACAAATTAAAACCCTGAGGCTGAGAGTAGTTACACAGCAAGTAAATGAAATTTGTTTGTTCATTTGTTTTTTGGGGGATAGTGAGTGTTCTTTCCAGATAGCACAGCTCCTTTTTTAGTGGGATTTGGTTATTACTTTTATTTTGTTGGTTTGTGGAGTTTTTATTTGTTCATGTTTTTGTTTTTTTTGTTACTTGAAGGTGAGAGGCCGCTAGGTGTCCCAGTAGTTTGACATGTACCGTTTTGAAGGTAACAGATGTTGGTATATTGTGCTAGGCAATTGCCCTCTGTGACTGTAGCATTTAGAGCTTCTGGGTATCTCCATAGAGTGTGTCGATTACTGCTTTGTGAGTTTGTTTATATTTACCTTGTAGCAACTGGTTTGTTAGTTTTAACTTACTGGAATTGGTCAAAATATGATAAATCATCTTTTTACAAATTTAGTAAATAAAACCTTTTTTATGATGCCATTAACTGCCCCCAAATAGTCTTCATATGACAGCACATAAGTTGTCTATGCCCCCAAAATATTTTTTAAAAGGATTTAACACATTCTTGCCTTGTTTTGGTAAGCTATAAATATATGTATATAATTTATTCCTAGAGGTTGAGACCAGTCTCTTAAAACTGCTATCCAGAAAGAGAACTTTTTGAAGATGTAGGATATAAAATGAATCTTCTAATCCCTTCGTAAGTTTTTCTATAACAAGCCACTCACTTTTTTAACCCTTCAGTGTTATTTTGAAAGAAAAGGAATAATTGGCATTTAGTCATTGCCAAATAAAATTTTGTGCCTCTTTGTGTCTCTAATAAGCAGACAACAATCTGATGAAGGAATAAAAGCTGTCAGCTCCTCATTAACTTGAGTTACAGGCTTCATATCCTGCGAGGCACTTTTTGACATTTAGAGCCTTCAGGTTAAATCCTGGTTTTACTTTTTCTTTTCCTGAACACTTTGTTTCATCACTACCAAATTTTCTGAGGCTTTAGCTATGCTCAGTTAATTTTTTTTTAATTTAAAAAGAACTGCATATTTTCTGTGGAAAAATTTAAAACATCAATACTCTGAAAAATTGAAAGTAAATAACCTTTAGTGCTACCACCCAGAGAAAACCAGGAGCAAATTACGAAAGTGCCACCTGACCTGTCCTCTTGACAGCTCAGAGTATTCTTATTTCTACAAGTCTTTGTCAGTTTGATAGACAAAACTTACCTTCTTGAAATTTACATTTCTGTGACTATTGAAGATGGATGTTTTTCATGTTTGTTGGCCCTTCTTATTCTTCTGAGTTGCTTTTTCATATTTTTAAAATTAATTTGTGAGCACTCCCAATATATAATTTATGTTAACCCTTTGTTATGTATAAGTTTCTATATTGTAAATTCTCCATGTTTTTAACCTGCCCTTTGTTTCCAGAGTTTTTATCTTGACTTGAAGTGTGATGTTTTATGTTACTACCAGTAAAAGTAAATATGGCCTTTCTATTGTTGAAAATATCCCATTAACTTCAAAGTGATTCTTAATTTGACAAAAATTATAAGGAATCAATTTTGGACATATTTTCTGATAGTACCTTGCAAAAGTTAAAACTAACTCAACTAGATCAGGTACTGTTTTCAGGAATAACTCTAATACATGTAAGTTACAAGTTTGAGTAGGGAGGTGGTTTTTAGCATTTAAAATTAAACTGGGGGCACCTGACTGGCTCAGTTGGTAGAGCATGTGATTCTCAGTCTTGGGGTTTTAAGATCGAACTGCACGTTGGATGTAGAGATAACTTACAAATAAAATCTTTATAAAAAAAGCAAAATTAGAGTGATAGTATAGTCTTAGCGTTTGCTTTTGTTTGTAAACTTACATGACAGCAAAAACAGTTATTAGTCTTAGTAGCTTTATGATTCGGATATTTATTACAGCTCCTTAGATTTTCTAAGATAGTAAGTAGCTAAAAAACTGCTTTTGTAGTTTGTTCATCAAAATATGTCTCCTTGTCCAAATTATCTCCCCTAAACATAATGCTTTTTTTGGTTGATAAGTTTTTTGGCCAATAGTATCATTGTACAGTGGTCCTTTCCTAGTCTCCATATATGTAAGTTTGAAGGAATTTTACATTTTTGAAACTTACTGTTTTTTAAGTTAGAGTGTTTTGAGATTACATAACATAGCACATAAATCCTAGGGGAGAGATTGCCAGTGATGTTTTAAGTCTAGTGAGATTAAGCAAATGTAATGAAAATTAATGTTCACAGGAATATATTGTACAGTTAATGATTCTACTATAACTGTTAAGTCAGGGAAAAATTAGGTTGAATACGGACTTGATTCATAGATAAATAATTTTTGGAAAGTGCACAGATTATGAATCTTATTGAATTGGTTTAAGGAGTAGTGGTTCTTCTAAATTCCCGATTGTTCCCTTCCTCAGTTTGTAAGAATGCTGAAAAGCTGCTCTAACTACTACAGGTTTTATAGTTAACAAAGAAGAAAAGAGAAAGAAGTAAAGTTTAAATTTATTCTGGCAAAAGCAAACTTTTGCTTTGGGAGGGTACCTAAAATCACGTCTAAGGCCACATTCAAGAAAAAAAATGAAAAGAGAAATTAGCTGTTGAGTTCATGTAAATTGTAACACTGATGAGCAGAGCAGAATGGGAGGGTTCACATTCACAAATCTAGACTTTTGACATTATCCCACTTGCAGTTACACACACAGCCACAAGAGATGCGCTGACGGGTTTGAAGAAGATGGTGTTCGTTGTCAAGCTGGAAGTGTCTAATCTGCTAGACCACCACCTCTATAGATTTATTTTTTAACATGCCTGTCTTAACTTTGTGGAAAGCACAGTTACATTGCATTGTGCCTGTGTAAAGTATTAATTCGGTAAATGTAAACCTGTAAGGGACACCAGAATTTTCCTGTTTTCAGTTTTATTTTTAAAATAGTATTGAGAACCCATCCAGATGAAAGTACCCTGGCCTTCTTTAACCTCTGAGAGACCCTGAACTTCCCAGTTCACTCTGTGTGATGAAAAATATAGAACCCTGTTGTTATGTGTCTCTAAGACTGTGTGTCCTGGGTGGTTGTAGTCTCGCCCTCTAGGTTCCCAGCTCATCTGGGGCAGAAGTGGTCTTGTTCAGCTCTGTATCCTCAGAATGTGTATGTACCACAGTGCTGAGCATCTCAGCATGCTTAGATGCCTTCATGACCAGAGTACGCACTTTTCCCCCCATTTCTTACTTATTTGAAGTGTTCTGTAGAGGAATGTTCAAAGAATAAAATCCAGAAAGTTTTGATACTAGTTCAGTATAAAACTATTCATTTTGGGAAGAAATCTGTTTAGGAAGTGTCATGCCCTGTGTTAGAACATCAAATAATTTTCAACTAATATAACTTATTTAATATGAATATTTCCTTTGTTACCAAAAACATCTTGTGATCTCTACAGCTGCAGTGAGAAGAGGAGTTTGTTATTTTAAACGGAGGCTGAAGAAACTGTAGACTTAGCAGACATAAGAGAAAGTGGAGAAGGTGGAGGATGGAGTTGCAGACTCTACAGGAGGCTCTTAAAGTGGAAATTCAGGTTCACCAGGTATGTTCCATTATTGGCTTCTCCCATGTTGTGTTATTAAGTAATGGCTAAGATTAGTAAACTGGCCCATCTCTGAATGTCAGGAGTTTTTAACAGTATTTCAGACAGTTGTCCAAGAGCCATGTCGTTGGCTTTCTATCACTGTGTAACAAACTCACTGATAATACTTTTAAGAACTTTACTTTAGGGGAACGTGGGGGGCTCAGTCAGTTAAGCATCTGACTTCGGTTCAGGTCATGATCTCATGGTTCATGAGTTCAAGCTCTGCGTCGGGCTCTGTGCTCACAGCTTGCAGCCTGGGGCCTGCTTTGGATTCTGTGTCTTCCTTTCTCTTTGCCCTTCCACCTCTGTCTCTGTCTCTCTCAAAAATAAATAAACATTTGCAAAACAAATTAAAAAGAAAAAAGAACGTTAATAAAATATTCCTGGCTTCCTTTCTAGAGAAAACAACGGCATGTTTTTTTTATATGCCAAAGGTGTTAAAAAAAAAAAAAGCTATTTTTATCCTGTGTTTTGGTTCATCTGAAGACTTTGTTCATGTGCCTTGACTTGTATGTTTTAAGTAATGAGACATGTTTGACTGTCATTTATACCAAAGTTTTTATGCATAACTCAGCTTTATACCTTGATTCCAATCTCTAGTAAACAAAACATCCCATGTTTAAATTTCAAATTTCACAATTCTTACAATTTACCTCAGGTATACATAGGCTAAACAAATCTTAAAAGTATATAAGTAAAATTACATTAATAATTACTTTTATATAATATCAATAAAAATATTAAATATGTATAATATATTTTATATGTATATACATCTTATTTAATATAACTGTAACCCAGACATAAAGCTATCCTTAAATAACAGCCTCATTAACATTTATTTTTGTAAGCAGAATATCACTGTCTATATCCCTTTTCTAGACATTAGCTGAATGTGGTCCTAGGTTCAAGATAAATGCATACACACACACACACAATTAAAAGTGGTAAATGATAATGAATTGACTACTTTTGAATGTTTGGGGCATGGGAGTAGAAAGGAGAAAGGGACTAATTTTCTAAAGGTGTTTTTCCTAGGTATAGTTTCTCTTGTTTTACCTGAATAGTTTAAGGTTAACTTCTGAAATTGTTGGTAACACACCTGGGGGGTTTGATAACTACTAAATTTGCACGTTGCTTAGATTAAGGTGGATGAGAATTTACAGGAAAGCTTCAAAGGCATACACACACACACACACACACACACACACACAAAGTCTCTGTGTGTTCAGAATCCCTGCTGCTGCTTTGGATCTGTTAAACTCTTGCTCAGCAGTAGTCTTACAGTTTGCTGTGTACAGGTGGGCTTTTCTGTGTGAAGAGTGTTTTGTTTTATGGTAATTGTAAGAAATTTAGTATATAATAAGTTATGCACATTTTATTTCATTTGGCCTTGCTTCTGTTAGTAATTGGGAATAAAAATCTGTTTATAAAAATAAGTTTGTCTTTTTCCCAGGTTGTAAGTATTTTAACCAAGAGGTGTGTGGAATACTTAATTTGGCTGAATGGAAAATGACAACAGTTAAATTCACAATTTGTTCACAGCTTACATCATCACAGAGGAAATTTCTGGAGAACAATAATCAATCTGAAATTTGTATGGATCAAAGATATTTAATAAAGTTGTACATGATTTCAGGAGATATTCCTCCTCTCAAGAAACAAATTGAACTAAATTACTAAAAATGAGAATTCTTAAATATTATTGGGGCACCTGGGGGGTGCCTCCGTGGCTCAGTTGGTTAAGCATCCTACTTTGGCTCAGGTCATGATCTCACGGTTCATGGGTTCAAGCCACATGTCAGGCTGTGTGCTGACAACTTGGAACCTGGAGCCTGTTTCGGATTCTGTGTCTTCCTCTCTCCCTGCCCCCCCCCC